CGGGTACCCAGAAAGCTGGAGAGCATTATATATGAAAATCAGCACCTTGAAATGAACTGGTAGCTGGTAATGTTGTTTCAACAGAGGTGGTGTTGACGCTGGCTCGGAACAGGGCAGATTCATCCAAAGGATCATTCAACCACTCGTCCCTTCGGGGCGCAGAAATGTAGGGCAACCTCTCCCTGTGTTGCTTCTATGCCCAAGAGGGAGAAAAAGTGGGGGTGCGGGAAGGCAGCGGAAAAAACAAAGGCTCAACCTGCTGAGTCAGCGGGCCACACCCTGGGCACAATGCCATGGGGTTCCGGAAGGAGCTGCATCAAACGTGTGGCATGTGCCAGGTCATGCTCAGCATGCGCCCCTCCTTGGCTCCTTCTTTTCAGAGGCTGCCAGGGAAAAGGAAAGGAGAGAAAAGGAAGGAATTACAAGGAAGAAGGCAGGAGTGTTATAGCATAGCCTTTCTCAGCCTTTGAAGTGCTTGAAACAATTTCCAGGTCTCCGGAACCCTTGGACATAAATTATTATTCTCTTGGACAAGCATTTCTCAACCTGGGAGTCGGAACCCCCAACAGAAAACATATATTTCTGATGGTCTTAAGAACCCCTTTGGCAGAGAAGGCTGAAGATCTCTCTGCCTGTCTTTCTCTTCCTTTTTGGAAACAGACGGCGAATCCTCCAACCAAAAATTCAGTATCAGCCATGGCTTGGGGTTTGAGCCTGCCACTTTTGGACACTCGCTTGCTGAGGTTTTCCTGCAAGTATCTCTGTAGATCTTAGAAAACTATTTCTTGAGAAGGGAGACTAAAATGGTCAAGGATCTGGAGAACAAGCCCTATGAGGAGCGGATTAAAGAGCTGGGCATGTTTAGCCTGAAGAAGAGAAGGCTGAGAGGAGACATGATAGGCATGTATACATACGTGAGAGGAAGTCATAGGAAGGAGGGAGCAAACTTGTTTTCTGCTTCCCTGGAGACTTGGATGTGGAACAGTCCTCCTCCTGCTGTAATTGTAGGTGAACTATAAATCCCAGCAACTACAACTTCCAAATGTCAAAGTCTATTTCCCCCAAACTCCACCAGTGTTCCCATTTGGGCATATTGAGTATTTGTGCAAAGTTTGGTCCACATCTATCATTGTTAGAGTCCTCAGTGCTCTCGGGCTTTGTTCTTAGCCAACATGTATTTTAAGCAGCTTTTATTGTTTGCAAATTTTATCCATTTGTGTGTTCATTCAACTGGATGTTCTTAATCTCATTACCCGTATAACTTGTATGCTATAGTGTAATAAATGTCTCTGAACCATAATAAATTTATTATCAGCAGCAGCAGCATTGGTAGAGTTCAGAATACTCTTTGATTGTAGGTGAACTATAAATCCCAGCAACTACAGCTCCCAAATGCCAATTTCTATCTTCCCCAAACTTCACCAGTGCTCCCATTTGGGCATATTGAGTATTCATGCCAAGTTATGTCCAGATCCATCATTATTTGAGTCCACAGGGCTCTCTGAATGTAGGTGAACTACAATTCCAAAACTCGAGGTCAATGCCCACCAAACTCTTCCAGTATTTTCTGTTGGTCATGGGAGTTCTGTGAGCCAATTTTGGTTGAATTCCATCATTGGTGGAGTTCAGAATGCTCTTTGGTTTTAGGTGAACTATAAATCCCAGCAACTACAACTCCCAAATGTCATTTATTTCCCCAAACTCCACCAGTGTTCACATTTGAGCATATTGAGTATCTTGTGCCAAGTTCGGTCCAGATCCATCATTGTTTGAGTCCACAGCTCTCTGGAATGTAGGTGAACTACAACTCCAAACTCAAGGTCAATGCCCCCAAACCCTTCCAGTATTTTCTGTTGGTCATGGGAGTTCTGTGTGCCAAGTTTGGTTCAATTACATCATTAGTGGAGTTCAGAATGCTATTTGATTGTAGGTGAACTGCCAATCCCAACAACTACAACTCCCACATGACAAAATCAATCCCCCCCAACCCCACCAGTATGCAAATTTGAGTGTATTAGGTATTTATGCCAAATTTGTTCCAGTGAATGAAAAAACATCCTGCAGATCGGATATTTACATGACGATTCATAACAGTAGCACAATTACAGTTATGAAGTAGCAACGAAAATAATGTTATGGTTGGGGGTCACCACAACATGAGGAACTGTATTAAGGGGTCGTGGCATTAGGCAGCTTAGATTAGATTTTTTTTTTTAAATGATGGGTTTTCTTTATCATTCTTAAGGAACGCCTTGTGATTTCTTACAGAACCCTAGAGTTTTAGGGAATTCAGTTTGAGGAAGCAATTCAGCATTGAGCGGCTTTTCATTCTGTAGTTTTCCATGGCTGTTTATCACGTTGTTGAGTGAAAACAGGAAACATTTTTAAAAAACCATCAAAGGTCTGGAAACCAAGAGTTGCAGGGAACGATTCCGAAGCTTGGGCCTGTCACCCGAGAGAAGGCCGAGGAAGCGATCTTTGGATAACTGAAGGGATGATGAAACTGGGACATGACCCAATGGATTCAAAACACAAAAGATTCCACTTCGATATCAGGAGGAGGAGTGAAATAATTAGCCTTGGAGGATGCTCGACACTCCTTCTCTGGAGGTGTGGATGGGCATCCTTCAGGAGTGCTTTATTTCTGTATTATAGAATCATAGAATAATAGAATCATAGAGTTGGAAGAGACCTTGTGGGCTACCCAGTCCAACTTCCTGCCAAGAAGCAGGAAAATTGCATTCAAAGCACCCCGACAGATAGCCATCCAGCCTCTTTTTAAAAGCTTCCAAGAAGGAGAGAGTTCCACTGCTGAACAGCTATCATAGTCAGGAAGTTCTTCCTAATGTTCAGATGGAATCACCTTTCCTGTAGTTTGAAGCCATTGCTTCACTGCGTCCTAGTCTCCAAGGGAGCAGAAAACAAGCTTGCTCCCTCTTCCCTATGACTTCCCCTCACATCTTGATCTATGGCTGTCATCATGTCTCCTCTCAGCCTTCTCTTCTGCAGGTTAAACATGCCCAGTTCTTTAAACCGCTCCTCATAGGGCTTGTTCTCCAGACCCTTGATCATTTTAGTCGCCCTCCTCTGGACACATTCCAGCTTGTCAACATCTCCCTTCAGTTGCGGTGCCCAGAATTGGACACAGTATTCCACCATGTATTCCATGTATTCCTGCATGGTAAGAAGTTGTATCTAATCTTCAGAGTCTGTGAATTCTGTTCCGCTATGAGTCTATCTGATGTGGCGGCAGAAAAAAAGCCAGTGGGATCTTGGCCTGCATCAATAGGAGCCTAGTGTCTAGATCTAGGGAAGTCATTCTCCCCCTCTATTCTTCCTTGGTTAGACCACACCTGGAATATTGTCCAATTCTGGGCACCACAATTGAAGAGAGATATTGACAAGCTGGAATGTGTCCAGAGGAGGGCGACTAAAATGATCAAGGGTCTGGAGAACAAGCTCTGTGAGGAGCGGCTTAAGAGCTGGGCATGTTTAGCCTGAAGAAGAGAAGGCTGAGAGGAGACATGATAGCCATGTATAAATATGTGAGAGGAAGTCACAGGGAGGGGAGAGCAGGACACGAACCAATGGCTTCAAACTACAAGAAAGGAGATTCCATCTGAACATGAGGAAGAACTTCCCAACTGTGAGAGCCGTTCAGCAGTGGAACTCTCTGCCCCGGAGTGTGGTGGAGGCTCCTTCTTTGGAAGCTTTTAAACAGAGGCTGGATGGCCATCTGTCAGGGGTGATTTGAATGCAATATTCCTGCTTCTTGGCGGGGGGTTGGACTGGATGGCCCATGAGGTCTCTTCCAACTCTATGATTCTATGATTCCAAATGGCTGAGCAGAGATGTGAATCCTGATCTCCCAAAGTCCTAATCCAACACTACAACTATTACATCTCCAGTGCCAGACTTGAGAAACATCCTCATCCAAAAGAAGTCTCAGCTGCATGCTGTGCTAGTCACCTAGACTTCAGACAAGGAGTACTATGTATGCATTAGATATTGCGCATTTGCACTTTGTCTGCATATCCTGAAGTTTTATAAAATGCTGATGATTGGAATGAACTCTTGTCTATCTTGACCAGTGCTGTGAGTCAGTTGGACTGAACATGGTCCTGGAACTTGGTAGATTCTAGTGCAGTGCTTCTCAACCTGGGGGTCGGGACCCCTGGGGGGGTCACGAGGGGGTGTCAGGGGGTCACCAAAGACCATCTGAAAACATAGTATTTTCTGTTGGTCATAGGGGTTCTGTGTGGGAAGTTTGGCCCAAGTCTATCATTGGTGGGGTTCAGAATGCTCTTTAATTGTAGTGAACTATAAATCCCAGCAACTACAACTCCCAAATGTCAAGGTCTATTTCTCCAAACTCCACCAGTGTTCATTCACATTGGGCATGTTGAGTATTCATGGCAAGTTTGGTCCAGATCCATCATTGTGTGAGTCCATAGTGCTCTCTGGATGTAGGTGAACTACAACTCCAAACCTCAAGGTCAATGCCCACCAAACCCTTCCAGTATTTTCCGTTAGTCAAGGAAGTTCTGTGTGGCAAGATTGGTTCAATCCCATTATTGGAGTTCATAATGCTCTTTGATTGTAGGTGAACTATAAATCTCAGCCACTTCAACTCCCAAATGACAACATCAATCCCTTGCCAACCCCACCAGTATTCAAATTAGGGCATATCAGGTATTTGTGCCAAATATGCTCCAGCGAATGAAAATACATCCTGGATATCAGATATTTATATTATGATTCATAACAATAGCAAGATTGTAGTTGTGAAGTAGCAACAAAAATAATTTTATGGTTGGGGGTCACCACAACATGAGGAACTGTATTAAGGGGTTGCGGCATTAGAAAGGTTGAGAACCACTGCTCTAGTGTTTGTTGTCTGTTTGCCTTCCTGCTCAGTTTCGGGATGTATTTTAGCTTCATCTCCCATTTGATATTTCAGTCCTATGCAACGGCATAAAACCCGTATTTCTGTGTTTCAGATGAACTGGGACGATTCCGCCTCTGCGCCCACTGCCCATGTGAAGGCAGGCCTGAAGTACTGAAAATGCATGTCGAAGGTAAAGGCGGGGGGAATGACTGGCAGCGTTGCATTGACCATGTGGACACAGGTTCCTGCCTTAGTTGGTATTGTCAAAGATCTGGGCATAGCCCCACATCCCAGTTCTTGCAGGGCTTTATTTGGCGGAAAATGAAGGTGCGAATTCTCTATGTTTATGGGGTTCCGGGCCCGCTCGTGGTGCAGTGGGTTAAACCGCTGAGCTTCTGAACTTGCTGACAGAAAGTCAGCAGTTTGAATCCGGTCCTTAACCCAGGAGGACAACCTGAGGATATTGTCGAAGGCTTTCATGGCCGGAATCACTGGGTAGTTGTAGGTTTTTTGGGCTATATGGCCATGTTCTAGAGGCATTCTCCTGACGTTTCACCTGCATCTATGGCAAGCATCCTCAGAGGTAGTGAGGTCTGTTGGAACTAGGAAAGGGTTTATATATCTGTGGAATGACCAGGGTGGGACAAAGGACTCTTGTCTGCTGGAGCTAGGTGTGAATGTTTCAACTGACCACCTTGATTAGCATATGATGGCCTGGCAGTGCCTGGAGCAATCTTTTGTTGAGAGGTGATTAGATGTCCTTGTTTGTTTCCTCTCTGTTGTTGTACTGTTGTAATTTTAGGGTTTTTTAAATACTGGTAGCCAGATTTTGTTCATTTTCATGGTTTCCTCCTTTCTGTTGAAATTGTCCACATGCTTGTGGATTTCAATGGCTTCTCTGGGTAGCCTGATATGGTGGTTGTGAGAGTGGTCCAGCATTTCTGTGTTCTCAAATAAAATGCTGTGTCCAGGCTTGTTCATCAGGTGCTCTTCTATGACTCTCACATAGAAGAGTCAGTTGAAACATTCACACCTAACTCCAGCAGACAAGAGTCCATAGATGCAGGCAAAACGTCAGGAGAGAATGCCTCTAGAACATGGCCATATAGCCCAAAAAAACCTACAACAACCCAGTGATTCCGGCCATGAAAGCCTTCGACAATAAATTGGCTGTCTGCAAGGACATTGCCCAGGAGACGTCTGGATGTTTTACCATCCTGTGGGAGGCTTTCCTCATGTCCCTGCATGGGAAGCTATAGCTGACAGACAGGAACTCACCCTGGTCTCTGGATTTGAACCGCCAACCTTTTGGTCAGCAGTCCTGCTGGAACAAGGGTTTAACCCATTGCATCACCCTGGGTTCCTTGAGATTCAAAGTGGAACTCTGGGATGTTGATTGGCTGATCTGGGAAAGTTTATTTTTGGGGGACCCGCTCTTGCGTTGCCACCCAGGTCTGACGCAGAGGCCTTCTTCAACCCACTTTTGGGACACCCATCTTTCCTCACCTCTGCTGCCTGCCCAGACCTGGGTGCCAATGGTTGGCAGACGGAGCCTGGGCAGGTTCAGGATGAGACTTGCCTCCTCCTGGCAAGTGGGCCAAGAAGGCTTCCTCATCCTGGCACAGATATGCCATTCCTTCTGCCCTGGCTGGGGACGATGGGTGTCGGCGGAGGGGAGTCGGGCCAATTCCGGTGATCCCTTGTGATCCAGAATGGTGGGAATCTCCTCTAGGCGGCAGCGTGAAACACAAGAGCTCACACTCGCACGCTCACTCTCGTACACGGAGCCCAGGGCACCGGCTGCATTTCATCAGCTAAAAATAGGACCCCCAGAAGGAGACAGCAGGTCTTCCTAAGGGGGTCATGCAGAGGCTAATGCAGTGTTGCGTCCACACCCCTCTCCAGAACGCTGCACCACTTGGCTTTTCAAATATTTCTTTCCCAACCTCTTTATTTTATTGCATCTTTCCCTGAATTATAATCACCACACTTTACCCCCAACTCTCCCAATTTGGCCGTCCCAAGGAAACTGTTTCCCTACTTTTTCAGTTGCTTTCCTTCTCCTTCTTCCTCACAATTTTCTTCTTAATTCAGCAATATTCATAGTGTAGAAGTTAGTTTGAACTCAGCAAAAGAGAGAAGAGAAATTGGGATGCTAGCCTGCCCCATTTGGCTCAGGTAAAAGCAAACTGCTGCAACCTCCCATAGATCATGTGTTCTTCCTCACTGACAGCTTTTGCCATCTTGAACACACTGTCATGTTGTTTGGCGGCAAAAGTAGTCCAGATTTAGTTCGCCAAGGAGTGAAGAGGTGCAGTCTTCCCCTTCCCAGTAGTCTCAGGCAAAAGCAAACTTCTGCAGCCTCTTCTAGAATGTGTCTTCTTCTTCACTGACGGCTTTTGCCATCTTAGACGCACTGTCATGTTGTTTGGCGGCAAAAGTAGTCCAGATTTAGTTCTCCAAGGAGTGAAGAGATGCAATCTTCCCCTTCCCAGTAGTCTCAGGCAAAAGCAAACTGCTGCAGCATCTCCTAGCATGTGTGTTCTTCCTCACTGATGGCTTTTTCCATCTTGGGCACACTGTAATGTTGTTTGGTGGCAAAAGTAGTTCAGATTTAGTTAGCCAAGAAGTAAAGAGGTGCAATTTTCCCCTTCCCAGTAGTCTCAGGCAAAAGCAACTGCTGCAGCCTCTTCTAGAATGTGTGTTTTTCTTCACTGATGGTTTTTGCCATCTTAAACGCATTGCTGTGTTGTTTGGTGGCAAAAGTAGTTCAGGTTTAGTTAGCCACGGGGTGAAGAGGTGCAATCTTCAACTTCCCAGTAGTCTCAGGCAAAAGCAAACTGCTGCTAGTTCTAGTTCCAATGTTCTTCTGTAATCATAACTATAATCCTAGGAGCTCCCGTTTGCACAATGTGTTAAACCCTTGTGCTGGCAGGAATGCTGACCAAAAGGTTTGAATCCGGGGAGCGGGGTGAGCTCCCATCTGTCAGCTCCAGCTTCCCATGCGGAGATATGAGAGAAGACTCCTACAGAATGAGGAGTCCAGGCATTCGCTGGGCAATGTCTTTGCAGACGGCCTATTCTTTCACACCAGAAGCAACTTGCAGTTTCTCAATTCGCTCCCGACACGGGAAAAAAAACCTATAATCCTGAGGTCCCTGAATCCCGGTTTGCACCTGTTAAACCTGGAAGGCTGTGTTGCCAACCGGACAAGGTTTACATTGTGCTCCCAATTGCAGGTGGGGAAACTCAAGAGCAGTAGCGACTTACTCAGAAAGCGTCTCCTCCGTAAACGGCTGATTTTGGCTCCCAGGAGCCTCTAATTTACTTCCTCCAGCACATAGTTTATGAATTACTGTCCTAACCTAGAGAAAAACATAGGTTAGCATTTAAGCTGCCCCGGTTTGCCTGCCAGGCATTCACCGTCCTCCGCAATATTCGGGGCTTAAGGGTAAACATTGAGCAAATCACAGCCTTTGGAGAACTCACCTGACCCCCTTACCTGAGTGGGCAGGATCAACAGAAACTTCTTTACGCACAATGGTCAACGGACAGTAAACACACACACAAGTACAACAGAGCATTCCTTTATCATGAGTGAGTAGAAGACAGTGGGGACTTTTGATTGTGTTTTTTGTCTTGCAGAATAATGAGATAATATGTTAACTATAGGTTTTGAATATTACTAGGTTAGCTTTAGAAGGGAGCCAGGGTGGCATAGTGTTTTGATCACCGGATGATGACTCTGGAGAACAGGGTTCGAATCTCCCATGAAACCCTTGGGAAAATTTCACACTCTCTGGCTGGATCTCCACTGCCATGTAATGTAGCTTGAACTGCATTATATGGCCAGTGTGGACCATATATTGCAGTTATATGGCAGTGTCAATCCAGTCATAGAAAAACCCATGATAGCTTCGCCTTAGGCTCTCTCCATAAGTCAAAAATGACTTGAAGGCACACAACAATCACAGTTAAATTTGCTTTAAAAGAATGGTATTGAACTCGGAGAAGTAATGTCATACACACACACACACACACACACACACACACACAAAGTAATACCATATATAATACCATATATGTATTGTCGAAGGCTTTCATGGCCGGAATCACTGGGCTGGTGTGAGTTTTCCAGGCTGTCTGGCCATGTTCCAGAAGCATTCTCTCCTGACGTTTCACCTACATCTATGGCAGGCATCCTCAGAGGTTGTGAGGTCTGTTGGAAACTAGGAAAATGGGATTTATATATCTGTGGAATAATATCCAGGATGGGAGAAAGAACTCTTATCTGTTGGAGGTTGGTGTGAATGTTTCATTTGGCCACCTTTATTAGTTTCTGATTTATATCCAACTCCCACCACTCCTAACAGCCTCAGGCTTAAGCGGCTGAGGAGGAAAAGGAGGCTGTTAGAAATGGTGGGAGTTGGAGTCCAAACACATGGAGGGCCCAAGTTTGCCCATGCCTGTGTAGATGTACCTTTAGCTACAAACTGGACGGGAAGGTGTACTTGTTTTCCTCTAACAACATTTCATAATATGAACATATCCTAGAGATTTCTCAACAAGATTTATTCATGGAAGGTTGGCCAATTTATGAAGCTGAGAGAGTGTGACTTGCCCAAGGTCACTAGTCTGACTCTATTGCCAGGAGGGGGATTTGAACCCTGGTTGCCAGTCATGCTCCAGCACTCATAAATCAGTGTTGGAGCCCCCAGTGGCACAATGGGTTAAACCCTTGTGCCGGGAGGACTGAAGACCGACAGGTCAGAGGTTCGAATCTGGGGGCAGCGCAGATGAGCTCCCTCTGTCAGCTCCAGCTCCCCATGCAGGGACACAAGAGAAGCCTTCCATAAGGATGGCAAAACATCTGGCCGTCCCTTTGGGAATGTCCTTACAGATGGCCAATTCTCTCATACCAGGAGCGACTTGCAGTTTCTCAAGTCACTCCTGACACGAAAAAATTGTTATTGTTGTTATTTTTGTTTTTGTTTTTTTGTTATTTTCTGGAGGGCAAGTTTCATCCTGAACCTGCCCAGGCTCTGTCTGCCAACCATTGGCACCAGGGTCTCGGCAGGCAGCAGCAGAAGTGAGGAAAGATGGGTGCCCCAAAAGTGGGTCAAAAAAGGCCTCTGCGTCAGACCTGGGTGGCAACATAAGCCATGTTGAAAGGAACAGAAGTGGTGCAAGAACCCTTATCTGGAGGACATCCAAGGACAGAAACAACTCTTTCTTGTCCTTTGTAATAGTACCCAAAAATGTATAGTTCTCCGCACCCCACATCTGTAAGGACTATTGACTGATAGATCAGTGGTTTGAATCTGGGGAGAGTGCAGATGAGCTCCCTCTGTCAGCTCCAGCTCCCCATGAGGGGACATTAGAGAAGCCTCCCACAATGATGGTAAAACGTGAAAACATCTGGGTGTCCCCTGCGCAATGTCCTTGCAGACGGCCAATTCTCTCACACCAGAAGCAACTTGCAGATTCTCAAATCACTCCTGACACGAAAAACAAAAACAAACAATGTCATAGCAATATGTTATGTTATTAAGAGCTGTGTCTGAGTCATCTGAAACTAAACTTCATGCACATTTTTTACCAGGCACTAAAACAAAGCGAGGGGACCAGGAGCTGCTCAGCCAGGAAAAGCAGCAGCTGCCCTACTTGCTGGTGATGGCGATGCCCCCGGATCGGGCACAGCACCTCCACAGCCACCGGCAAAAGCGTGCCGCCGCAGGCTTGGAATACTGCAGCTCGTAAGTGGCATTGGGCAAGGCGGGAGGCAAGAATGCAGATATACAATTGTAGGGAAAAGGCAATGACAAAGTACTCCTCGCTTGTAATACCAGTGCCACACCAGTGCCATCGATTCCCCACTGAATGGACAGCATATTCTAGGCATGTGTTTGTTTCCAATGCTGAGTGTCAGAATATTAGGCACTTAAATAGTGACGGAGAATGTGTTGTTGCATCTCTCAGCATCTTGTTGGCTGTGCTATGGATGGGAGCAACATCTGGCCAATCATAATTCCTAAAGCAGTGTTTCTCAACCTTCCTAATGCCGTGACCCCTTAATACAGTTCCTCATGTTGTGGTGACCCCCAACCATAACATTTTTTTGCTACTTCATAACTGTAATTTTGCTCCTGTTATGAAACATAATTTGGGAGTTGTAGTTGTTGGGATTTATGGTTCACCTACAATCAAGAGTATTCTGAACTCCACCAACGATGGAATTGAACCAAACTTGGCACACAGAATGCCCACGACCAACAGAAAACACTGGAAGGGTTTGGTGGGCATTGACCTTGAGTTTGGGAGTTGTAGTTCACCTACAGAGAGCACTATGGACTCAAACAATGATGGATCTGGACCAAACTTGGCACAAATACTCAGTATGCTAAATGTGAACACTGGTGAAGTGTGGGGAAAATAGGCCTTGACATTTGGGAGTTGCTGGGATTTATAGTTCACCTACAAACAAAAAGCATTCTGAACCCCACCAATTATAGAATTGAGCCAAACCTCCCACACAGAACCCCCATGAACAACAGAAAGTGCTGTGTTTTCTGATGGTCTTTAGTGACCCCTCTGGCACCTCCTGGCGACCCCTTCAGGGGTCGCGACCCCCAGGATGAGAAACACTGTTCTAAAGCCTCCAGCTCCAGTTGGGACTCCAGGTGGCACAGCGAGTTAAACCACTGAGCTGCTGAACTTGCTAACCAAAAGGTTGGTGGTTTGAATCTGGGGACCAGGGTGAGCTCCCCCTCTTAGCCCCAGCTTCGGCCAACATAGCAGTTCGAAAACATGCAAATGTGAGTAGATCAGTAGGTACCTCCTCTGCAGGAAGGTAATGGCACTCCATACAGTCGTGCTAGCCACATGACCTTGGAGGTGTCTATGAACAAAGCCGGCTCTTCAGCTTAGAAATGGAGATGAGCACCACTCCCCAGAGTTGGACACGACTAGACTTTAATGTCAGGGGAAACCTTTGCCTTTACCTTTTACCAGCTCCAATGGCCAGGGAGAGTCCATATTAAAACTTTACCATCCCATTCTTAGGCTGCTTTTAAAATGCCCCAGTTTTTGTCCCGTCCTACCTCCCTTTGTTATCCTCAACTTTATTTAAGTGCCACAAAAGGATTACGGAAGTAATAATTATAATAATAAAACTTTATTTACACCCCATCTCCCTGTAGTGACTCGGTGCGGCTTACATGAGGCCAAGCCCAGCAATACAATACATCAATATAACAAAATACAGCAATAGATTTTAAATGTGCACTGTACCTTGTTTAATGTTTATGCTATTTGTGTATGAGATTTGTTTTAATTGCTTTGTATTGTGTCTGTTATTGCTTGTATTGTTGTATTGTGGGCTCGGCCTCATGTAAGCCGCGCCAAGTCCCTTGGGGAGATGGTGGCAGGGTATAAATAAAGTTTTATTATTTATTATTATTATAAAATGTAAAAATAAAAATACAATACAAAACCAATTATAAATAACACATCAACAATATAAAAGGAGCCCCCGGTGGCGCAGTGGGTTAAACCCCTGTGCTGGCAAGACCGACAGGTCACAGGTTCGAATCCGGGGAGAGGTGGATGAGCTCCCTCTATCAGCTCCAGCTCCTCATGCGGGGACATGAGAGAAGCCTCCCACAAGAATGATAAAAACAACAAATCATCCGGGCGTCCCCTGGGCAACGTCCTTGCAGACGGCCAATTCTCTTACACCAGAAGCGACTTGCAGTTTCCCAAGTCGCTCCTGACACGACAAATATAGATATAGATATAGATATATAAACACAAAAGTCAAACAACTATGGGCAGGGCCAATTCTAATGGAATTAAAAATTAAAACACTGGGTGAGACAGCAATGTAATTGGCACTCTATTAATGTAGTTGGCACTGTATTAATTGTAATTGGCACTCTTATCAATTTAGCAGGAAAGAGAGAGGAAAGGAGGCAAAATCTTGCCCTTCCCAGACATCTCCAACTGCTGCAGTCTCTCGTAGTTTGTGTGTTCTTCACGAAAAGCTTTTGTCGTCTTGACTGTACTTTCATGTTGCTAGACCGCACATGGCCTGGCTTTTACCTGTGAGATAAGGTATGAAGCTTCCCACAGTTGGACTAGGATTGCAAGAGACTCAAGAAGCCCAGAGGTTTGGGTTCAGTCTCATAACAAGACAAAAGATTGGAAATTTCGACATCTTAGTTCTCTAACTATGGGTCCCCAGATGTTTTGACCTTCAACTCCCAGGAATCCTAACTGCTGGTAAACTGGCTGGGATTTTTGGGAGTTGTAGGCCAAAACACCTGGGGACCCACAAGTTGAGAACCACTGTCTTAGTGTAACTCGTATTCATCAAAATACTAATTCAGTCAAGGAACTGAGTGCCACCGAAGTCTTTGTCGAGCTGGAAGAAAGGATTTAGGATCCTAGTGGAGAGGAAAACCCTGATAGGACTCAAGGCTTCTTCTCTAAAGCTTGTGGTTCTTCTGTTCCAGATCACCAGAGGAGAAGAACTGTTGCGTGCGGCGCCTTTACATTGACTTCCGTAAGGACCTGAAATGGAAGTGGATCCATGAACCCAAGGGCTACTATGCCAACTTCTGCATGGGACCATGCCCCTATCTCTGGAGCTTAGACACTCAGTACAGCAAGGTAGGGACAAAAGTCCTTGGGTGTTCTCCAATAAATGTTCTTTGCTGTTGTTGTATGCCTTCACGTTAGGAGCCCCTGGTAGCACAATGGGTTAAACCCTTGTGCCGGCAGGACTGCTGACCAAAATGTTGGCGGCTCGAATCCGGGGAGTGGGGTGAGCTCCTGTCTGTCAGCTCCAGCTTCTCATAAGGGGACATAAAACCTCCCACAGGATGGTAACACATCCCCTGGGCAACGTCCTTGCAGATGACCAATTCTATCACACCAGAAGCGACTTGCAGTTTCTCAAGTTGCTCCTGACTGGAAAAAAAATTCTTCATGTTGGGCGCAACCTATGGTGACCCTGTTGTAGGGTTTTCTTGGCAGGATTTGTTCAGAGGAGTTTGCCAGTGCCTTCTTCTGAGGAGGAGAGTGCAGCTTGTGACGTAATGAGAACCATGCATAGTTCATGTTTTACCTGTCCACACACTGTCTTTGGTGTCAATTTGTCCAGTGGTTTTTGAGTTCTGTTAATCCCACAAACAAATATTACATTTTTATTTATATAGATTATTATTATTATTATTATTATTATTATTATTATTATTATTATTATTGCTGACCTGCCTCATTCCCTGCGATGGCGGCTTTGATTCTTATCACATTGTCCTCTTTTGACAGGTCCTGTCGCTTTACAACCAACACAATCCGTCCGCCTCCGCCACCCCGTGCTGCGTCCCCAATGAGCTGGAGCCCTTGGGGATCGTCTATTACGTCGGACGCACAGCCAAGGTGGAACAGCTCTCCAACATGATTGTCAAATCGTGCCGATGCAGCTGAGGAAAAGGAGCCACGGACCCGGTTGGCAATTTTGAATCAAAACCCACGGGGGAAAGGGATCACGACTGAAGACTGATCTTTGATTTCCCCCAACACCTCAAGAAGAGTTATTATTATTAATATTAATATTTTATTATTGTATTTTGTATGTTTTTTGGGGGAGCGGGGAAGGGCAGAGCAACCATCTCAAGATCTTTTCAATGACTTTGCCAAGAGAAAGTAGAATGACTATCGGAATAATAATCGTTGTGTTCAAGGAAGAAGAAGCTTTTCACTGTGCTGCCGCCAATATCCCTCTGGGCGGAAAGGATTGGAAGAATAAGCTGGTAAAAGCCAAAAAGGATCTCCAAAACAAAGTTTAGAAATACAACAAGAAGTCACGGTTTGGGGACAAGAATGTCAAGAGTGGTATGGCTCAGATCTGCTCCTCTGGACGGTACGAATGTGTCCATATTTCTCGCAGGTGCCAGGGTCGCTGGACGATGCCAAGGTTACCTGGTGGGCACCGCTTTCAGAGCCTTCGCCCCTCCCTAAAAGAAGAGGGGAAATCGGAAGATGCGTATCTCAAACGAAGGACATTTCCCAATCACATAAGAGTTCTCCGTCCTTTCTGGAAGACAGCGCAAGGCACGGCTGTTATTGGCATCCCAAACTTTCATCTTTCAGATGTTTGGGACTTAGTTTCTCAGAATTCCTGATGGACCAAAGATTCTGGGAATGGAAGTCCAAAACACTAGGAGGTTCAAAGATTGGCTTACTGCACGCAAGAACAAAAATAATCGTATTGCTATGACTCTGTCCATAAACTACATATATCCGTCTTCCGGCCCCTTGGTTCTGCCTCTCCAGCCAGCCAATTTGCTACCCTTTGACTTTCCCTGGGACTCAAAAGGGCTGGTTATAGACTTTGTCTTTGATGGGATATTGGGGTGGGGAGAGATATTTTTGCACTCGTTCAATGCTTGGCAAACTGCCGCACCAGCAATACAAATGGGGAGGGAAAGGGCAAGGGTGGGCGGGGGGAGAAATGTGGATTTCACTGTCATTTTTGTTTGAGTGTCATATTAAAGAAGAAAACTTCCTGCTTGGATCTACAGATTGCTTAAACTTTCTCTGTAATGATAAGACAAGTTGTGTTTTCAGAATTGGAGATAAAATCAGTGGCATCCGTTTCCCTGCCTCCCCATTTTAACTACCTAATCTCTCTGTCCACAACCAAAAACACACCCATATGGCCTACCCTTTGTTTATTTGCTTGCAAAATGCCCCAGTTTAGCACTTCTCCTTCCACTTTCTGCTTTTATTTTTGCTTACTTCAGTTGATGTAAACAGAATATTTCCCTTCCCAGTAATCTCAGGCAAAAGCAAACTGCTGCAGCCTCTCCTAGCTTGTATTTTGCCAACTTGGTCACACTCTCATGTAGTGTGGCCACATGTAGCTTGGTGTTCAGCTCCAAGTGCATCAATTCAGAGTCTAAAACAGATATAGGCCTAACCCAGTCTCAGGAGCCAGATGCAGCCCCTTGGGTTCTGTTCTCAAGCCTCTTCTCACTCACCATACTATCCTTCCTTCCCTTTTTTCTTTCCTTCCTCCTTCCCTAGCTCCCTCCCACCCTTAAATCTCTTCCCTTCCCTTCTACCCTTTAGTCCTTCCTTCCTGCCCTCTTTCCTCCCTCCTGTCCTATCTCTTTCTTTATCCTTCCTTCCTTCCCTCTATCCTCCCTTCTGCTCTCTCTTTCTCCTTTCCTCCTTCCTTCTTTACCTCCCTCTTCCCTTCCACCCTTTCATCCTTCCTTCCCTCTTTCCTCCCTCCTGCCCTCTTTCTCCTTCCTTCCTTCTTTATTTCCCTCTTTCATCCCTCTTGCCCTCTCTCCCTCTGTCGCCTTCCCACCTGCCTGCCTGCCTTCCTCAAGCAAAGATGGAATTAACTTTCCTTCCCTTTTTTTTCTTCCTTCCTTCCTTCCTTCCTTCCTTCCTTCCTTCCTTCCTTCCTTCCTTCCTTCCTTCCTTCCTTCCCCCCCTCTATCCTTCTCCTTCCCCTTCCTTCCTCCTTTCTTCCTTCCTTCCTTCCTTCCTCCTTCCTTCCTTCCTTCTTCCTTTCCTTCCCTCCCTCCTCCTCCCTCCTCCCTCCCCCTCCCTCCTCGCATCGGCCGAAACCTACCTCTCCCTCCCTTCTGTGCCCCTCTTCCCTTATGTCCCTAGACACATTCTCTCACTTCCCCCTTCCTTCCTTCCCTTCCCTTCCCCCTTCCTCTCCTTCCTTCCCCTTCCTTCCTTCCCTCTTTCCTCCCTCCTGCCCTCTCTCTCTCTTCTCCTTCCTTCCTTCCTTCCCTTCCTTCCCCCCTTTCCTCCCTCTGCCCTCCTCCCTTTCCCTTCCTTCTTATTCTTTTTCTTTCTTTCTTTCTTTCTTTCTTTCTTTCTTTCTTTCTTTCTTTCCTTCCTTCCTTCCTTCCTTCTTTCCTTCCTTCCTTCCTTCCTTCTTTCCTTCCTTCCCTTTTGTCTTTCCTTCCTTCTCTCTTTCCTTTATTCTTCCCTTCCTTCCTTCCATCCAGCCTTCTCTTTCTCCTTTTCTTCCTTCCCTTCCTCCCTCCCTTTTGTCTTTCCTTCCCTCTTTCTCCTTCTATCCTTCCCTTCCACCCTTTTGTCCTTACTTACTTCCATTTCTCCCTCTTTCTCCTTCCTTCCTTCCCTCCCTTCTTTCCTTACTTTCCTCCCTCTTTCCTTCCTCCTTCAATCTCTCCCTCCTTCTCCTTCCTTCCTTCCCTCCCTTCTTTTCTTTCTTTCCTCCCTCTTTCCTTCCTCCTTCATTCTCTCCCTCCTCCTTCCTTCCTTCCTTCCTTCCTTCCTTCCTTCCTTCCTTCCTTCCTTCCTTCCTGCCTTCTGCTTCCTGCCTCCTCCTTCCTTCCTGCCCTCCTGCCTCCTTCTCCACAGGGCGTTTATCGGGAGTGCTTTGATTGTGCCTTCTTGCATGGCAGGGGGTTGGACTGGGTGGCCCTTGGGAGTCTCTTCCAGCTCTAGGATTCTAGGATTATATATCAGGAGTAGGCAATACGGGGGTTTAATGGATACACTTGTATTTCCCATTCACCATCTCATCTTTACAAAGGCCAAACATATTTGGAATCCAAACATTTCCAATCTTTCCTTCACTTTCCGTCTCCAAAAGAGAAGACGAAGGGCAGGGAGGGGGCTTAGGGAGAATCCCCTCCGTCCCAGCCCACCCACTCCACTCCGGCCGACCACGCAGACCCCAAGTTAGAAAATTTGTGCAGGCCTTATCTACAACGATGACTCTGAGCCACCGATTTCTATCAAATGTAAGTCCCAAGATCATCCCAGACCTTGTGTCTCCAGGGCATTTGGAGCCACGATGGCTGCCTTTCGAAGGTCCCCACCGACCACTGAGTCCAGCTGGTTTGCTGGCTTCATCCCAGGGCCCATGGCTTTGTGCCCAGTTGACGTTGTCACATTCCCCTTCCACCACAGAGTAAATATTTATGTGTCACGTTCTTGGCAGGAGGCCTCGGCTCTTGCATGGGGGGGGGGGGGGGGGGGGGGGGACCTTGCGGAAGCGGATTGTTTGTTACCATGGTAATGGGAAAAGGGACCCTGGACCAGGGCGAAGATGCAGCTGGCTATAGGGAAGAATGCCAAAACCACGTGCTTGTAATAGGGCATCCTATTAGCTGGGTCATCCTATTTGCTGGGTCACCCTATTAGCAGGGTTGGGATTGCAGAGAGAGGCAAAGTCAGGTCTAGATTGAAAGGAGGCTCTTAAACAGGTTCATAGACAAAAATATAAGCATCCCAGGTATGAGCAAACTTGGGCCCTCCAGGTGTTTTGGACTTCAACTCCCAAAATTCCTAAGAGCCTCAGACCCCTTCCTTTTCCCCCTCAGCCACAATTCCCTTGTGTCGGCAGGACTGAAGACACTAGACAGGTCACAGGTTCAAATCTGGGGAGAGCATGGATGAGCTTCCTCTGTCAGCTCCAGCTCCCCAGGTGAGGACATGAGAGAAGCCTCCCACAAGAATGGTAAAACATCAAAACATCCGGGCAATGTCCCCTGGGCAACGTCCTTGCAGACGGCCAATTCTCTCACACCAGAAGTGACTTGCATTTTCTCAAGTCACTCCTAACACACACACCCAAAATGCCTTAAATCAAGAAATAGCTTTCTAAGATCTACAGAGATAATTACAGGAACACCTCAGCAAGCGAGAGTCCAAAAGCGGCAGGCTAAACCTTGGAACCTCAATCAGTGGCTGATACCAAATGAGAGACTCCCTTCTGGGCACACAGAAGACTGGGTGACTTGGAAGGTGCTGAACAGAATGAACTCTGGCAACACGAGATGCAGAGCCAACCTTTAGAAATGGGGCCACAAAGTAGAGTCCACAGCATGCGAGTGCGGAGAAGAGCAAATCAAAGACCATCTATTACAGTGCAACCTGAGTCCTGCCACATGAAGAATGGAGGACCTTCTTATAGCAACACCAGAGGCACTGCAAGTGGCCAGCTTCTGGTCAAAGGACATTTAGTATAATGCCAAGTTTTTAAAACTTTGTGTCTTTTAAATACAACTGTACCCTTGGTTCACTTCTGATACGATAAATAAATAAATAGAGCTAACTTTTGATGACATTCCCATCTACTATCACAAGGGACCTTGGTAATCCTGGAGATCAGCAGAAGAGCAGGGCCAGGCGGAAACAGAAATAGGCAAAGAAGGGGGAGAATTAACAGATGAGATCAAGCAAAATGTTTGTCACTGGACAGATAGAAAGTGAAGAAAGGAGAGGAATAGGCGACAGGGAGTCTGGATCAGAGATGTTCCTTGGACACCCGGAGCAAACGACGAAGAGGTTCTGTTTGCCTCCTCGGAGCCAGTTTCCACGCATCCTGTGGTCCCCCTCGGCCCCCGCACAGGATGCTTTGCAGACAGAGCATGCAGAGTTCATGGGTTTCTTCGCTCCGTTGCCAAAAAGCCTGGATATAACCAGGACTTTGGGCGAGACTCTCTCCCTTCCCAGTTTCATAGGGCAGCCTGGCAGCAGCCAGTTAAGTTCAGAAAGAGTGGAGTGGGTCAGCTGCAACCGGGGGTGCATCTACACTGCAGAATTAATACGGTTTGACCCCACTTGAAATGCCACGGCATAATGCTATGGAGTCCTGGGAGTTGTAGCTCCGTGATTGGGTAGAGAAGGCGAAAGGCTGTGAAAACATACAAGTCCAATGATTCCAGAGCCAAAGTGAATTAATTCTACGATGTAAACACACCCCAGAAGTCACCAGTGGAGTTCAACAGGATGGAGAGGCACGTTGGCACTCTCTTCTCTCCATTCTGTTTGAGACATTCGAGGCCAAATTCCTTACAAGATCAAATACTTGGCTCAAAGGAGGGTCACATGAAAGCCACCGACATCTTTTGGAAAGGAGAGTGAACACAAAAGAGACTGCACTTAAACTTGTAGAGCAGCATTGCTAAACCTGGGGGGGGGGGGGGGCTAAGGGGAAATCAGAGGGGTCACCAAAGACCATCAGAAAATACAAAGGGAGAATCCGCCACCAAAAACCCTCCTCCACTGTGATTGGCTGGCCTCTCAGCCTCTCAGCCAAGGGGAGGGCTATTTCTGAGACTCCAAGTGCTCAGCGCATGGCATGGCACGGAGACCGTGGAGATGGGGGAGGCTCACACCAGCGAGTCCCTTCAAGGCATGGGGTTCTGTGTGGGATGTCTGGCCCAATTCTATTGATGGTGTGGTTCAGATTGCTCTTTGAGTCTGGGTAAACTATACATCCCAGCAACAACACCTCCCAAATGTCAAGGTCTATTTTCCTCAAACCTCCTCCAGTGTTTACATTTGGGCACATTGAGTATCAGTGCCAAGTTTGATCCAGATCTATCATTTTTAGTCCACAATGCTGTGAACTACAATTCCAAAATTCATTATTATTGCCTACCGAACTGTCCCAGTATTTTCTGTTGGTCATGGGGGTTCTGTGTGGACAGTTTGGCCCAATTCTATTTTTGGTGGGGTTCAGAATGCTCTTTGATTGTAGGTGAACTATAAATCCAAGCAGCAACAACACCC